GTTAATGTGGCTTCTCACGTGTCAAGAAGTCTCTTAATGAGCTGTTAGCATTTGATACAATCTGGCTCAGTGGCTGTGACTTAAGAATGTCCAGATATTATTATCTGCGGAGCTAGAAAAGGCTCCTTGAGAACTAGGTACCAAGGCTGCTGCTGTTTTTCCCCCTCTTGCTATACCTGTGATTACTGCCAGAATCTGTACACAGTGGGTGCTTCATAAATCGTCATCCCAAATTGATCAGTTAGGGAGGTATGAGTCACAGCGCAGAAAAAATTCTTGCCAACAGTGGTTTTTCAGTTCTTTATTGAGGTGCAATTCATATATAGTAAAAGGCACAGGTCTTAAGTGTACAGCTCAATGCTTTTTGCATGTATGTGTAAATATCCATGTGACCATCACCCCATCAAGATGTAGAACATCTCCTTCCCCCTAGAAATTTCCCTTGCCAGTCACTAACACCTCCCTTGATGTAACCACTGTGCCGTGGACTGTTTGTATCCCTCCAAAATTTGCATGTTGAAACCCTACCCCCAATGTGATGGTATTTGGAAAAGGGACCTTTGTGAGGTGATTAAGTTTAGATGAGGTCGTGAAGGTGGAGCTTCCCAGGATGGGATTAGTGCCCTTAGAGGAAGAGAAAGGAAACCAGACCACACATGCTCAAGCTTGCATTCTCTCTCAATCTCTCTGTCTGTCATGTGAGGATTAAACAGGAAAATTGCCATCTGCAAGCCAGAAAGAGAGCCCTCCCCAGACACTGGCTCTGCCAGTGCCTTGATCTTGCACTTCTCAGCCTCCAGAACTGTGAGAAATAAATGTTCGTTGTTTAAGCCACTCAGTCTGTGGCATTTTTGTTATAGGAGCCCGAACTAAGACATCACTATTCTGATCATATTCTCCTCATGTTGCCATAATAAAATACCATAGAATAGGTGGCTTTTACAAACAGAAATTTAGTTTGCATAGTTCTGAACTCTAGAAGTCCAAGATCAAGGTTCTGGCCAGTCCAGTTTCTGGTGAGGGCTCTCTTCCTGGCCTTCAGATGGCTACCTTCTCCCTTTATCCTCTCATGGCTCTCCTTAGCACATGCTGGTGGAAAGAGAAAGAATGAGCTCTCAGGTGTCTTCTTTTTTTTTGGAGACAGAGTCTTGCTCTGTCACCCAGGCTGGAGTGCAGTGGCACAATCTCAGCTCACTGCAACCTCTGCCTCCTGTGCTCAAGCGATTCTCCTTCCTCAGCCTTCCAAGTAGCTGGGATTATAGGCACATGCCACCATGCCCAGATAATTTTTGTATTTTTAGTAGAGACAGGGTTTTACCATGTTAGCCAGGATGGTCTCGATCTCTTGACCTTGTAATCTGCCCACCTTGGCCTCCCAAAGTGCTGGAATTACAGGTGTCAGCCACCGTGCCCAACCAGGTGTCTCTTTTTATAAGCACCCTAATCATATCAGGGCCTCATTTAACCTTAATTACTTCCTTGGAGGCCCCATTTCCAAATGAGCTTCTACACAGGGGCTTAGGGCTTCAACATAGGAATTTGGGGGGGATACACCAACATTCAGCCTATAATAGACCACTGTCATATAGATGAGTATTGCTGGTTCTAGAGCTTCATACAAACAAAATCATGTAGTATGTACTCTTCTGTGTCTGGCTTCTTTTGTTCAGTGTAATCTTTTTGAGATTCATTCATGTTGTTGCATGTCAGTGGTTCATTCCCTTTTATTACTGAGTAGCATTTCATTGTACAAACAAACCACAATTTGTCTATCCATTCTTCTATTGATGAACATCTGGGTTGTTTCCACTTTGCCAACAGGTATTTATTCCATACAGGGCACTATGTTAGCTGCTGGGCTATAAAGAAACGTCACCCATGTCCCTGGCCATCAGGAGCTTATGCTTGGGATCTGTGCTTAGAAAATAGCCAAGGATACACCAATGTATAAAACAACATATGACTCTGACTCACTGAACAGAGACTGAGTCGGGTACTCAGAAGGAAGCAGTTTTTTTTTAAGGAATACCAGTAAAGTCTGTTTGTAAATACACACACTTAGATGAGCCAGCTTAAGAATACCACTTGCCAGAGAAACAAAAGCAACTCCAAGTGAGGTCGGAGCTGGCAGGTACTTGGTCCTGCTGCGTGGATACCTCTGGGAAACCTCATAAATGCTTCATTTCCTGTGTTCTGGGCCAAAGAATTTCATGAAGTGGGAGCAGGGTGAAAACATTCCCCTTGGAACAAAGCTGGCTCCTGATTTGTTTTTGTGGTTTTCTCCAAGAGGGCAGGGAGGGAAAGGTCTGTCCTCAAAAGGACAGCTAGGCCATGGTCAGGGTGGGTTCACTATGGTCAGGCGTGGATGCTCTGAGTAGAGGGAAGGCAGGGTGGACAAAGGGGTAAGGGCTCCTGGGTCCCAGTTTGGGGTCTAGTGGCTAAATAATCAGTTTCTCTGGCCACAGGTGGATATGGGTAAGTCAGGTAGAATGTCTGGCACCAGGGGCAGGGCCATGAGGGCAGGGATGGGCAGCTGGAATTTGACAGCCCAAAAGGGGACCTGAGAGCCTGAGAGCCCTCCCAGGGCTCTATGGCAGAGCTGCTCACACCCCTGTTCATGGGTCTGAGAGTTGGGGTTTTGTGTGTCCTCACAAACCTCTGGAAGCCCACCCCTCAAGTCCTATTCTATCAAGCTCCATCTATGGTCACAGGACTTGGTCTGTCCTTGCCATGATGACATAGGACGATAGAGTTGTAAGGGACCTCAGGGCTCCTAAGTTTTCAGAGGTGAGGGGTGATGGAATGGGGGAGTTTGGGGAGATTTCAGGACAGTTACTCAATGAAAGTTTTCAACCAGAATTTCATGACCATGTCAGTTATAACTATTCATGGAATATCAATATCACATGAATTTTCTGTTTCTTCTGGTTTTAAACTTTCTCTTTTACTTTTTTTTTTCATTGAAAGGACAAAAACCACGTTAAATATAACTTGGAAAAAAACCAATAAAGTTTCCTAATAGATATTTTCATGTTTGTTTTCCTTCCAGTTCATATTTTACATGTTGCTTTTTTCACAACACGTTTGCTTGAGCATTTGCCATGGTGCTGCAATAGTCTTTATCAGAATTATGCTGAGAGCTGTGTCATATTAACGGCTGATGTACCCTAATTTTCGATTTTCTAGTTCTGGCCATTTTAGTGTTCAGATTTTGCTCTTATGTATAACTCTGCCAATGAGTAATTCCTCTTTTATTTTTATTTTATTTTATTTTGAGAGGGAGTCTCACTGTTTCACCCAGGCTGGAGTGCAGTGGCGTGATCGCTGCTCACTGCAACCTCTGCCTCCCGGGCTCTAGTGATTCTCCCGCCTCAGTCTCCCAAGGAGCTGGGATTACAGGCGCCCACCACCAAGCCCGGCTAATTTTTGTGTTTTTAGTAGAAACAGGGTTTTACTATGTTGACCAGGCTGGTTCTTGAACTCCTGGTCTCAAATGATCCACCCACCTCAGCCTCCCAAAGTGCTGAGATTACAGGTGTGAGCCACCAGGCTCGGCCTGTAATTCCTCTTTTAAAAGAACTTTTACCCAAAGGTGCCACTCAGCACAGCTCTGACGGAGGGCCAGGTTTTCTCTGTTTGTGGGGCAGAAGGATGAAGAGGACTTGTGACGTAGAATTGCATCATTGTGGGTTCAAAGGGAAAGAAAAATGGGTGTGCAGTGAGGGGAACTCCAAAAAGTCTAATTTCCAAAATGTAAAAAAAAAAAAAAAAGCATGATTCTCATACAAATATATAATGAGTACATGTCAAGGTTTTATTTTACCTCATTAATGGGAGAACCAAGTATATAAGAAAAACAAATGTAAATGTGGTTAGTAAAAGAAAAAACTGTAGAATAAGATCTCAAATTTAGATACTAAACTGTTTTTCTTCAGAGCAATAAAACTGTAAACTTTAGGATTATCTTCTCTACTAAACAGAAGTCATTTTTATTTCTGTAGGACAAAAAATTATTTGCACTGTTATTGGATAAAAACTCTTTGTATCTTAGTGGTGACAAACTAACAGCTAACCTTTGAGAGCTGTAAAATCATGAATCAAGAATAAATAATAATTCTACTAGAAAGTCAAATGACCCATATGCAGGCTTGACAGTGAAGGTCATGCATCTTTTTGCCTTTTTCCCAACTTTTGCATGTTTTTTTTCTTGAAGACAGACCTGGAGAGGAGACTCTGTGATGTTATTACCTGCCCATCCCCGATTCCCCACCCCTTCTACCCCCCCAGGCGTTTCAGTGCTAGGTAGCACAGGGAGCATGTCCTCTTGGTCTGAAGCCGTGTGAGGGTACAGAGTGGGGGTGAGGACAAAAAGGAAGCTTGAACAATTAACGTCCTGTCACTGAGATGGATGGAGAGAGAGATCCTGGAGCCTGTGAGAGGAACAGGAATGAAGCCCAGGATTTGACTGGAAGCCCAGACCACCCCTAACTCCCAAGGACTCTCACTGGGAAGAACCTGAAAGAGACTCCAGAAGTTCAGGTGGAATTTGTTAGTTTTACAAAGTTAAATGATTACTTCATTGTAGATTGGGGTTTTGACTTAATATTTTTGCACTGTTAACAATATTGTTCACCTTAATCACCATCAGCCTTTTGTCCCACGCACTCCTTAGCACCTCCGAACCTAGAAGTCTAAATGCCTGACAGCCCCTCTGGCTTTGTGCTTTCACCTCTAGGCCTGGCTTAGGCATCTTTGCCTCCTCTTCCTGTTCCAGGGCAGACCCTGGCTCTTTGAGACAGAGCAGCAGGGGTAGAGAACTACAGTCCAACTTGCCCTGGTGCTCCCAGGACTTTCTAGGTTAGAAAACTGGAAGTTTCACATCCCAGGATCCCCACTCAGTTCCAGGAAAACTGGGACCGTTGATGTCTCAGTCAGCTCAGGTTGCTGTAACAGAATACCATAAACTGGATGGCATAAACAACAGAAAATTATTTTCTCACTTTTCTGGAGGCTGACGGTCTAAGATCAAGGTGCCATCATGATTGGTTTCTTGTGAGGTCTCTCCTCCTGCCATGTAAACAGATGCCTTCTTGTGTCCTCACATGTTAGACAGTGGGGTACACGGGGAGAGAGACAGAGAGATCTGGTATTTGGTGTCTCTTCTTATAAGGGCGCTAATCCCATCATGAGGGCCTCACCCTTATGACCTCATCTAAACCTCATCATCTTCCAAAGGTTCTGTCTCATAATACCATTACATCAGGGGTTAGGGCTGCAAGATACGTATTTTAGCTCAGTCCATAGAGGTTGGTCACCTTGAGTCTAGTCCCACTCTTGATCTGAGCAGCTGTTGGATGCTGCTGTTTTCAACCCGAGGAGTTTTTGAACTATTTTCCTAGTCTTAACTCTATTACTGTATCTCTCTTAAATATCTTAATTCATGAAGCCCAGACTATAGTCCAGGACCCATAAAAGTTTCCCATGTATTTCAGTCTGGAACAGAAATGAGTACAAGTTTTGTATTTTTGTTTTCTAGCAAGGAGACATTTGTGGAAGCTTCCAAGAAGACAAATGGAATGGAATGGGATGTTTGCTTTCATGGATCAGAAATGAATTACATTGCTTTCTTTCAGAGTTGTAGAGTCTTAGGAAAGAAACAATGAAAGAAAATGTTTTGTGGAGGGGAGCTGTGAAAAGAACAGACTTCTGAGTGGAGTACCTGGGTCAGGAGATATGGATTGATTCTGTGACTGGGTTCCTGAAAAACAATAGACTTGCCATGCTTTTTATACCTGGATGCTGTCTCCTAATGCTCTCTCTAGGCATTTATTCTGCTCCAGGGTCTTCAGAAGAACAGGTTAGTAGCTAGTCAAAGGGAAGGGAGGAAGAGGGGGATTGTGTTGGTGTGAAACGGTCTGATGCTGAACTCCCCTTAGGGTTGTAGGCAAAAGCAGATCCTTGGATAATGGGGGTACCATGCACAGCTCTGAAAATAAAATGCTATTGACTTCAGTCTGAAACTGTCAATTTCCACTGGCATGGAATAAATTATTCAGAAAAGAGAAGCAGCAAATATTATGCAGTCTGCCTTTAGGGAAAGAAAAAAACACCCACTTCTTATAAAAACACTTTTTTTGGGACGAAGGATTTGATTTCAACTGATGAGTCACCACTGTGTCTGTGTGTGTGTGTGTGTGTGTGTGTGTTTACCACTTAGCCAAAAAATGAGATTTTATAAAAAGCATTTCTTGAAGCAAATTCTTCCATTGCTTGGGGTTCTCTCATCTAAGAGAGAAGGCATCCTAAGCACTTACATCCACAGTGCCAGCAGCTGTCCCAGCTTGCATGAAAGATATTGTTGGGCAAGATTTGTAGCTCTCAAGTTCCAGATTCATTATTAAAAGGCAACCTTAACATAACATTCATCATCTAAAAGCAAGAAATTATCAAGAAACAGAAAATAAAATTTAAAACCAATTTCAATGAGTAAACCATATGTTTAAAAATGACATGATGAATGTCAGAACGACAAAAGAATGTAAGAGAGCTTGTGCCCTCACTTGTGCAGGCATGGCAGTGGGGTGACCACATGTCTTGGTTTCCCAAGGACAGTTCTAGCTCATGCCTGAAAAGTGCCCACTTTGACTCTCAAACGTATCTTGTTTTGGACAGTGAGTTATATGGTTCCCCTAAATGTTGTAGTTTTAAAACATGTCTGCGAATTCTTTGACACGCCTATCATCAAAAAGTCTATGTCCCGGCTGGGCACAGTGGCTCACTCCTGTAATCCCAGCACTTTGGGAGGCCAAGGCGGGTGGATCACCTGAAGCCAGGAGTTCGAGACCAGCCTGGCCAACATGGTGAAACCCCGTCTCTACTAAAATACAAAATTAGCTGGACATGGTGGCTGAGCACCTGTAATCCCAGCTACTCGGGAAGCTGAGGCAGGAGAATCTCTTGAACGCAGGAGGCAGAGGTTGCAGTGAGCCCAGATCATGCTATTGCACTCCAGCATGGGCAAAAAGCAAAACTCCATCTCAAAAAAAAAAAGTCTATGTCACTTCCCCTTGACAGTGGCCAAGCTTTTGTGATCACCTGAGTGAATAGCATGTGACAGCAGTGACACTGCCTGATTTCCAAGTCTAGGTTACAAAAGGCCATGCAACTTCTCCTGGTTTTTCTTGGGATACTTGTACTGGGAGTCATCGGCCACCCTCTAAGAAGTTTGACTACTCAGGAGCTGCTGTGCTGGAGGGACCACATGGAAAGACCAGAGAGTGAGAGAGTTGAAATAAGAGATGCATGCGCAGCAACAGCTGGCCTAGCTCCAGCTATTTGAGTGTTCCCAGTCCAGGTAGCAAACATGTGAGTGAGGAAGGCTTAGAGGTCACTCCAGGCCCAGCCACCATCTGACTACAGCAACGTGAGAGGCCCCAAGTGAAAGGTGTCTGGCTGGACCCAGTCAACCTCCAGAACCATGAGAGAAAGTAATAATAATAAATGACGTTGTCCCTGTATGCCAGTGAGTTTGAGATGGTTTGTTATGCAGGCAGAGGTAACCAAGAGACTAGGTATAGGCTGGTTAAGCACGACATTACCTGATGGTACCTGGAGGGTCCCTACTAAGCACTTTCAAGTTGCTGCAACTTTTTTATTATGAACCTTTGGCTCATTCATTTTATTATGAATTTGCAGCCACACTGGCTTCCTTTCAGTTCTTCCCATAGCCAAGCTCTTTCTGAGCCAGGATCCACTTTCTAGAACACTTCTCTCCTCTCCTGACTCCTTCCCTTTTTATCTGTCTTACTCTTATTCACCCTCCAGGTCCCAGCTTAAAAACCACTTTTTGATTCCTTCTGATGGTTCTTAGCTTTCTCATAGACATTTGAGAGAAATTGTTTTCTCAAAAAATCACCACATCCATACTTTTGATCCTATATGCTATCCCAAAATTTTGCCATTTCCTTATCAAGAGGTGGTGTCTATTTCCCCTCGCTTTGAAATGGTGCAAGACTTTGTGTTTGCAATATTGACTAGAATGGGGCAGAAGCAACGATGTGTGACTTTGAGTCTAGGTCATAAAGGAATATGTTTCTACCACAATCCTTCTCAGGATACACACCATGGGAACTCAGCCACCATATTGTGGGGAAGCCCAGGCCACATGGAGAGGCCATGTGTATATATTCCACCTGACAGCTCCAGCTGAGGTTCCAGCTGCTGGCCATCCTTAACTGCCAGACAGATGAGTGTGTTTTCCTTCAAATGATGGCAGTACCCTGCTTTTGAGCCATGCTAGCTAATGCCATTAGAGCAGGAATGAGCTATCTCTGTTGAACGCTCAATACTATGCAATCTATTGTCATTGTTGTAAGACTAAGTTTTAGGATGGTTTGTTATGCAGTAATAGATCATCAAAGCACTACTGTATTTTTATTTCTTAAAACTGCCCAACTGTGACCATGTAAATATTATTAAAATGGTACACTCAATATCTGTTTCTCCTGCTGAATTGTGAGATCCATGAGAGCTGGGACCCTGAATGCCTTGTCCACTGTTGTATGTCCAGCACATGACCACGTCTACTACAAAAGAGGAGCTTCAAAATAGAATTGTGGAACGAAAGAATGAGTGAATGAATAGATACAATGGCCTACAAAGTACATGGGGATACCAACAAAGTAAAAATGAAAGCCAAAAAGTTCCTGAGGATATGAAAAACTATTCTGGTTGAAGGATACACTGCTCATCACGACATCTGTGGAGTTCAGAAGCTGATTTGTAATTTTGCATTTGTCAACCTATTTTATACCTTTCAACCATGTATTAATATTAGTTTGGTCACATCCAATCACATTTGAGTCTATACTAACACACTATTGCAACAAAAGCCTTTTATAATCTTTTGGCACCTTTAAGAGTTAGTTTCAGAGTAGCTTCTTAGTTCATGCAACTTTATATTTATAAAAGAATTAACCGGCTGGGCGCGGTGGCTCAAACCTGTAATCCCAGCATTTTGGGAGGCCAAGACGGGCGGATCACGAGGTCAGGAGATCGAGACCATCCTGGCTAACACGGTGAAACCCCATCTCTACTAAAAAATACAAAAAAACTAGCCGGGCGAGGTGGCGGGCGCCTGTAGTCCCAGTTACTGTAGTCCCAGTTACCAGTTACAGGCTGAGGCAGGAGAATGGCTTAAACCCGGGAGGCGGAGCTTACAGTGAGCTGAGATCCGGCCACTGCACTCCAGCCTGGGCGACAGAGTGAGAGTCCGTCTCAAAAAGAAAAAAAAAGAATTAACCATAATCACAGATCATGACAAGTATCACCTCCCATGGGTGGAAAAGTATGTGTCAAATTACACTCCACAGAGGAAAAATTGTTTGAAGATGTGTAGATTCAAACTAGCAACGTGGGAGACTTGAAGAGTTGATAAGTGTTATTGCAAGACACTTAGCTATTATTTTTGAGAACATGTGGAAGACCGAGGTCCCCGGGGGGTGGGGAGTGGGAGAGACTACAACAGCATCCATCTTTGCAAAAGAAAGCAACTTCTCAAGAAAAAAGAAAAACGGAACAAAATACCAATTTATCAATTTGTGAACACCAGGCAGAGCTCAAGATCCTGTGCAACCAGTCTGGCTAGAAGAAGATAGATTCGGGGCCAAAACTAGCTATTGACCTCTGGTGAGAGTCACAGGCTGTGGAAATAATCACAGAGTAGCAGATGACTGTATTTGAGCTTCTTGGGGCATTTGACTGCAGGTGAACAAATCAAGTTCCTCTTTTAAAAAAATTGGCCTGAGAAGATGTGATAAATATCTCCTACTACTGGAGGAGAAACTAACACAACCTTGTGAATTGGAGCCACTCAATGTCACTTAACCTCAACTGGTCATCCTCTTGTGTGTCCTGGTTGGAGTTCTCATCCATCCTCAGTTCAGTTTCTCCAGTGACTATAACTATAACTCCATCTCCTGCAAGGTGGGGAAAGGGTGGACATCAGTTACTTACGATGGGGCTTGGGGTCTTTGCTCACTGATATTCACTGCTGCCACACACACAGCCTTCAAAAAATCCAGTATTTAGTCCACCCCATTCACCTCAAACCACTTGCTCTTTCCAAATGCATCACGTTCTCTCTTCCCTCTATGACTTTGCCCTAGAATGCCCTACCATGCCAGCTCCCAGATACCTCATATAATTAACTTTCACTGCCTTGCCCTTTCAAGAATGAGTTCAGGTTTGTATCAGAGGCTGGTGCCATGCTGCTCAGATCTCTGTTAGCTGGGCAGGCACACCTATCCTTGCAGTTGTCTGTGAGTGTTGGCTTCTAACAGCTCTAAGGGACATCCTTCTTCAGAGACTCACCCTCTATCAACAGGAGACTTCTCTCCCAGAATTAGGTAGATTAGGCCCTCTCCCCACGAAGCAGCCTGCAGCCAATGACTGACTGATGAGGAATAGTCAGGTCTGGCCTTTTGACCCAAAGTGGGACACTCTGTTGTGCAGCCCACACTCCATGTCTCCCCATGGGTGAGACTGCAGCTAGACTAACAGAAGCCACATCTTTGCCTGGCTTCGCCCTCTTCTCTTTCTTGCTTCCCTCATTTATTTACAGGTTTCTTCTGAGAGTTGTCCCTTGATAAATCACTCATATAGGATTTCCCTTCTCAGGCTCTGCTTCTAGGGAACCCAACTCAGACCAATATTGTCTTTTCTGGGAGACTTTCTTTAACCATTTGCCACCCAAACTAAATCAGAGTCCTTCTTATGTGCACACACTTCTGTCACAGAGCTTCTCACTAAGTACTGGGATCACTGATTTAATTATCAGTCTCCCCAACTAGTCTATTTGACAGCAGGAACCTTGACCTATTGATCTCTTTCTCCCCAGCACCTGGGACCTATAGCTGCTGTTCAGTAAAATTTTGATGAATTGAATTCTTGGGGATCTTTGTGAAGACAGTGTACTCATGAAATATACAGAGGTGGGTGAGTGAGCCTTATTTTAGCCCTCATATTAAAGAGGGTTCAGGGCAAAACAGTCACAGAGATTGTTATAGAAATAGGCTACGGGCTTACCATAGAATGTTGGTTAGGACAATTGAAAACGGAATATAATCTGGGATTTGGGTCAATCAATGATTATCAAGTCAGTTACTTACTAGTACAATGGAAGATTTTCAAAAGATGTAACACATGGGTGGGCCCTGCCTTCAAATAACTTAAAATCCAGTTTGAGAAAGTTCGATTGTAAATAGACCAAGAGCGGGTAACAAATAGAATGAGAATGAAC